GTTCATTCAGAGTCTTCATTCCCTCAAATAAGACAGACACTTTTGATAAAGATTATTTAATTGATCTTACAGTCTTTTTAGCTGTTTTCCTTTTCCATTCTACCAAAACATTCTACAACATTCACTTTAGTGGGAGCGCACTTGTACAATATTTATGAACATCTATAATTCTCACAAAACAAAAAAAGTACCACTAACTAGACATGCCATTGATTGACATCATTCCATATTTCCTTCCAATCCTTCTTGATGTCCATTCAGATCAATAGTATGTGTGATCAGAGTGTTGAGGAGCTTTTTGATGTGAGGCTGTGACATCTTGTCCACATCTTTTTCACTAGGGAGTCAGAAAATCTAATAAAGTTTACAAAGCATTTTTCTCTTCCTCAGTAGAGGTATCTACAAAATTGCAGAGAAAAGCTAGCAATTGTTTCAGTTATTGATATTATTTCCTTCTACAGAATGTTAGAAGCTTCATCTCAATGAAGGTTTTAAATGAAACCAGACCTGGAGGGTGTGAAGGCAGAAAAAATGATGCCCTTGCAAAGGGAGGTCTGGAGGAATTCTTGTTTTGTTTGTTGCCTTTTTTCTCTCTCTCTGCATTTCTCCTTCAGTATAAGATAAGCAAAATTTATTAACATGTAATCTCACTGTGATTGGCTTATAAAATGAAACAGGATAACACAATTAGGGAGAGGCCCACATTAAGTAAGTGAGACCTTCCCACTCACACAAATTAGCACAGTCAAGCTGTTGCATTTATGCCTTGTTTGGAACTTAATGTAAATAGTACTGCATGCAGTGAGGCATATTTCCTAAAATAGCAAACATTCCTGTGTTACCATGGAGAGATCTGCTTGGAGGTTAAGGCAAGAATGTGCTCTAAATGCTCAAGGCAGAGACTGAAAACCTTGCAGGGATTAGTAGCTCAGGCAGCTCTGGACAACTTCATATAAGGAGATTTTTTTAGAGTAGCTTTTCAGTATCGCCTTCTTTCGCTGATGAATGTTGAAGCTGGAGACTCATTTACAAATCTCCGTTCAACATTATTGTCTCCCAGACAACCTTCATTAATAATGTGTCTCCAAAGCAGGCCTTATCAGCTAAAACAATCATTACTCTAATCCTTTTGAGCAGCAAAGGAAGTGGAAAAATAGGCAGCTGTTTTACAACTTAATGAAAAATATTTATTGAGCACTTGTAATGCACGACGTACTGTTAGGTGAAGGAAGAACACAAAAATGTATAGGATTTAGTCTCTGCCTTCTAGAGATTACAATAGGAGAAAGTCACTGATGAAAAAAATACAAGGCAGTACAGAAAGGAAAAATCATCATGGACGGGGTTCAGAAGCAAAGATTTTGGTCTCTGAGGAATGAGTAGGATTTTACTAAGTAGAGATGAAAATGAAAGGCATTGCTTTATTCATTCATTCAATGATTATTTATTGAGATCTAGAAAGATACTGTTCCAAATACTTCAGAAGCAGTCTTAGTCCACTCAGGCTGCTATAACAAAATACCACAGACCGAGTGGCTTATAAACAATAGAAATTCATTTCTCACAGTTCTGGTGGCTGGTAAGTCCAAGATCAGGGCACTGGTATTTTCAGTGTCTGGTGAGGGCCCACTTTCTGGTTTATGGATTTCCTGTTGTGTCTTCACATGGTGGAAGGGACTAGCTAACTCTCTGAGGTCTCTTTTTTATGAGGACACTAATTTCTCCCAAAGCCCCCACCTCCTAATACCATTATGCTGGGGGTTAAGATTTCAACATATGAATTTGGAGGGGGATACAAACATTCAAACCATAGCAGATAACCAAGATGAGAAAGCTGTGGTTCCTTTTCTTAAGTAGCTTACCAGTTAATGGGGAGAAGGCAGGATGGAGAAATGACATACAAATTACTGTATGTACAAAAAGTATTTTGGAAGATGGAAGAAGACAAAGATGTCTTTTGGTGGTAATTAGAAAGGCAGGTTGAAGGAAATACTTGACGGGTGGATAGGATTGTGACAGGTGGAGGTGGTAGTGATAGAATATTCCAAGTGTATGAAGTATAGAGGTAGGGAAGTTCAGGGTAGAGAAATAGTAGCAGGAATAGAATATAGGGGGACAGAAAAATGGAGTGGAGCCAGATTCAGAGAACTTTAAGAGGCAGGTAAAGAAGTTTATGATTAATGGGCAAGTCATTGGGTCTCCAGGTTTCTTTGAAGGAGAGTGATATCTGAACTCTGCTTTAGAAAGATTAATCTGAAAGGAGGATAGAGTAGAGGGCAAAGAAGTTGAGGGGACTCATTATTTTGGAACTCTATTACTTAAGATATGAAGTCATTAGGGCCAGGCATAGTGGCTCACACCTGTAATCCCAGCACTTTGGGAGGTCGAGGTGGGTGGATCATGAGGTCAAGAGTTTGAGACCAGCCTGGCCAACATGGTGAAACCCTGCCTCTACTAAGAATACAAAAATTAGCCAGGTGTGGTGATGCGTGCCTGTAATCCCAGCTACTCGGGAGGCTGAGGCAGGAGAATTGCTTGAACCTGGGAGGTGGAGGTTGTAGTGAGCCAAGATAGTGCCACTGCACTCCAGCCTGGGCAACAGAGCAAGACTCCATCTCGAAACAAAACAACAACAACAAAAAAGATACGAAGTCATTAGAGGGTAAGGAAGGATGAAAATTTTGTGCTAAGGCAAAAAACCAAAATAAAATCTTAGTATATAATAGTTCATTTTCTCATTCATACATTCTAGTCAATGACTATTGAGTGCTTTCCATGACTAGGCAATGGTGCTGTTAGGTACTAGAGAATTACCTTCTAATGAAGGAGACAGATAAATAACCAAATAATCAAACAAATACATAACTTCAAATTGTGATAAGTACATTGAAGAAAGCAAAGAGCAGGGATTGGTAGACTTTTTCTGTATAGGGCCAGATAGTAAATAAGCTGTGCAGGCTGTAAAGTTTCTGCCATCGTTGCATAAAAACAGCCATACACAACACATACGAATGAACATGGCTGTGTTCCAACAAAACTCTATTTGCAAAAACAGGTGGGAGCTGGATTTGGTCCACAGTCCATAGTTTTCTGACTCCTCATATAAAGTACTAGGAGGAAAGGGAGGCACTTTAAACAAGGGGAAGACAACAATCAGGAGATCAGTCTTTCCTACGGTAATTTTGAGATGTCTATGACACATCCACATGTAGATATCAAATAGGTAACCCGGTATTTGAGAGTGGCACTCAGAGGAGAATTCTACAATAAAAATATAAATTGGAAGCCACCAGTATAAAGATGGGAAAGGATGAGATGACACCAGAAGAGAACAGAGAGGTGAAAAGGGTCTAGGACTGAGCACCAATGAACAAAAGGTACACAGTGTATGACTCTTAGTTCATAAATCTAAGGCAGTCATCAATTTAAAGTCCCTGTCTGAGTCAGGATGGTGAGAAATCCAATTTCATGCGTTTGGTATTTCCTCCTATCCCTGCTTTCTCAACTAGTTAAAGGTCCGTAGGTTTCACCAGGTGCCAAAGCACCAACGAGACTACTCTGATCATCGATCTCCCACTAAAGCATCCCTGCCTCAGTAAGCAGGGTTTTGCCAACCCTAGAAGCTTGTTATATTGAACCTTTTATGGAGCCAGAATCCCCTGCTGAAAAGTGCAGCCTTTCCAAGTCACCCCATTACTTCCCTCTCTGAGGTCCTGCTGCTTCTCCAGGGCACTGATATGGAATGGAGGTGGGTACTTGTTACTCTTTGACCTCCAGTTTCTTTCCATCTGGGTGAAATGTCACTCTCTCCTCTTCGTTGACTTCAAAAACTTTTCTCTCTCCTCTCTTCACCAATGGGACATCTGGCTCAATCTTCTCAATGGGCTTAAAATTTCATAAAAGTCTAGAAATGCACTTGGCTTCAAACATCCTCTGCTCTTTGCTCTGCAAAAATTCCAGAGTCAAGGAAATGCTAAGGGCTTGATCATCAGATTAGAAAAGAGGGAAGGAGAGGGCCAGGCGCGGTGGCTCACGCCTGTAATCCCAGCACTTTGGGAGGCTGAGGTGGGCAGATCATCTGAGGTCTGGAGTTCAAGACCAGCCTGACCAACATGGAGAAACCCTGTCTCTACTAAAAATACAAAATTAACTGGGTGTGGTGGTGCATGCCTGTAATCCCAGCTACTCAGGAAGGCTGAGGCAGAAGAATCGCTTAAACCCGGGAGGTGGAGGTTGCGGCGAGTCGAGATCGCGCCATTGTACTCCAGCCTGGGCAACAAGAGTGAAACTCCGTCTCACAAAAAAAAAAAAAAAAAGAAAAGAAAAGAGGGAGGCAGAGATACATTACACAGGTAAAAAAACAAATTTATATCCAAACATTTACCCTCTCACCATCTGCCTAGGGAAGAAGTACAAGATGAAGCTGGAAGGGAAGTAGGTTAGGATCTTTTTGTAGAGATAACGAAATGTCAACCTACAGGTAGTGCACAATGATGGATCTTTACTGTGAATGTTCTGCAAATAACGTGCACGATAATTATAGTGGTAAGCTTCTAAGGCTGTGTGATACAATTCAGGTATCAGGTTTCAAGAACCTGAAATGGAAAGTGCAGTGAAAATGTGAAGCAAGATACACATGCTAGAGATGTTCAGAAAAAGGACAGAAAAGAAGTTAGCTTTTGGCTTGACAGGGAAGGATTCTGGGAAGTAAATGTCTACTCTGATGTTTTCAAATCCACTTGGTTTACAAGTCTACCCATTGCACCCAGTCATATTAGGAAATGTTATGCCTCACCTTATCTGTCCTGTTAATTTCTCTCTAGATTTTGACAATGTTAACCATCCCTGTCATTCTTGAAACTTCCCCCTCCCACCTGTGCTTTGACTGTGCAACTGCTCCACTTAGTATTCCACTTCGTTGTCTCAGTCACCTCAGCATGTCCCAAATAAGTGTTATTTTTTTGCAAACAGATGCTCCAACTCCTACATTTGTTTATTTATGCTACTTTCTACCAGTCTTCCAGACTCCAAACCATTATCTCCATCTTAAACCCTTTCTTTTCTTTTGTCCTGTCTGCATATACACCATCAAGTCCTGCTGTTCATTTCTTCAAGGTGATTCTCATATTTACCACTTTCTTTCCATTTCTATGCCAGACCTTTATTACCTCACACATGAATAACTGTAGGGTCTTTTTAGCAGATCTTCCTGTAGCCATCCCAAAGTTCTCCTTGAAAGTGTAATCCATCCTGTTGCCTGGGTAATCTTCCCAAAAAAAGGTTTTCATAATGTCATTCTCTGCTTAAGTCCATAACATTAAGTCCAAGTTCTTTTGCCTTTGTCAAAACATTAACCAAATTCTAGTTGCCGAGGCACTCCATAGCATAGTGTCTGGCTTACAGTTGGCTCTTGATACATGTTCTTTGAATGAACAACTATAGAGGATTAGATGTATGTGTGGATGAACCTGGTCATTCAAAAATCCCCAACATCTCCCTTTACCTACAGGCTAGCACTGCGTTTAACCCAAGTTCTGTGGCTTTTAATGAAGCTATTTTATTTTGCTGGAGTCCCTTCCTTGGCCTCCTTCATCCTAACACCCATCTCAAGTGCCACTCTTGTCCCTTCAACTATACCAGCCCATACTAACCTCAACTTTTTCTGTACTCACACTAAATTGAACTCAGTACCGTTTAGTTTACCAGTCAATTGTTCTAACTGTAGCGTGCACCTTTTCTCCCTTTTAACTAAACTGAAAGCTCACTGAAAAGAGAAAAAAAGGTATGTTTGCATTCTTGCTCATTGATTAACAAATACTTTAAAATTTACTTAACAACCTATGGGTATTTAATAACCTGAAAGACTCTAATGTTTACTATTAGATGGATTTTGCTGAGAAGCATACTACTGTAATCTGCAGATGAACTGGAAATCTCCTGGCTTTAAAACAAGCATTTCAAAATGCTGTGTTGTTAATTAATGGAAAGCATGATTGTTTCTGACTTCTTAAAGGTTTCAAAGAGCACAGGGAAATCACACACCTGCCTGTGTGTTACCACAAAGCCTAACTGGCTTTACTTTGACATTCTTGCATTTTCTCATCTGCCTTAGTTTCTCTACCAGAATCATGTTTTTCTTTTGGTGCACAGTTTTTTAGTAATTAGAATAGTTATTTCCAATGTCATAAATAGGGTAGTGAAACCTAATACAACTGGTTTGGGACATGGGGATTTTCCACCTCTCCAATTCTTTTGGAAACTCCCTCTCAGCCCAGAAGTAGGTCTTAGAACACTACCACCCAGTTGCCACACAGGGGGTGCAAAAGTGACTATGGTGACTGCAACATTTAGAGGTCAAAACAGAGATAGTGCGAAAGACCCCACACCACAGTAATATTTATAAATCTTGTTCCAAATGCGGATACAGTTCTCTAAATTCAACATAGATTTTGTAAGCAGTTCTTCATTGATGTGCTTTTCTATCTGCAGAAGTTCTGATCTTTTGTCTCATACAGCTTAGGATAGTTCTCCTTCAGTGGTTTTCCAAGTATGGTTCCCAGATAGCAGCATCAACATGATCTGGGAACTTGTCAGGAATGCAAATTCTTGAGCCCCACCGCAGACCTTATTGTGTCAGGAACTCAAGGGGGTAGGTCCCAATAATTTATGTTAACAAGCCCTCCAGGTGATTCTGATGCATGCTTAAGTTTGAAAACTGCCATTTAAATTCAACATATTTCATTGTAGATTAGGAAATTAAAAGCCAGATATAAGTGACTTAACCTAGGCCATAAAGCAAAGAAGTGCTTATAAATGTATTTATCCATCAATGTTCAGGGTGAACTGTTGATATATAAAATTAATAATTTGTTTAATCACAATATGAAGCTTATTCTAAAATTTTTTATGTGCCTTCACTAAGTTTTAGAAGTAATAATTTTATACTAAATCATTACAGAAGCCCTAAGTCTCACCTTAACAACATGCCTTGCTTCAATCATAAGTGTTTGGTGCACACATGCATATAAAATATTATCCTAAGGTGGGGCGCAGTGGAACCCGGGAGGCAGAGGCAGAGGTTGCAGTAAGCTGAGATTGCGCCACTGCACTCCAGCCTGGATGACAGAGTGAGGCTCCGTCTCAAAAAAAAAAAGCTCATCTGGATAGGCTTAAGTTTTTAATTTGCAATTGGGTCTTTTACAGAATTTCTTCTGGGCTATATTTTATAGTATTTTCCTAATTTTCAAAACTGTTCTTAAAGTAGGGTGACTTTCCACCAAAGAAATCCCTCAAATTAAAATTTTTGGGGCAATACATAGTGTTAACTTATTTACTCCTTTTAATCTTTTTAATTCAAATATACTAATATGTATACAATCTACAGATCTAAGTGCCCCATTCAATGAGCTTCAACAACTCTACACACCTATGTTACCTTCATCCAAAACTAGATACAGAACAGCTTCATCACCTCAGAAGATTTCTTTGTGCCCCTTTTCAATCACTTCTCACCCTGTCTCTCACCGTTCAACCACTTCCTGACTTATATCACTATAGATCTGTTTTTTCTATAGTCTGTTGCTTAGACTTCAGATGAGATCAGATACATTCAGGGTAGTACGGCCGTAGACCTGTTGTCAGACTTCAAATAAATGGAATCACACAGGATGTACTCATTTGCATATGGCTTGTTTCACTTAAGATGTTTTTGAGGTGTATCCATGTTGCATGTATCTGAGTTCATTCTTTTTCATTGCTGGCTAGTACTGTATTGTATTGTATGAATACACTAAAATGTGTTTCATCTACCTTTTTTCTTAGTAACAATTATATTTTTTTCTTGTCACAAAAGCAGTTAAGTACTTACTGTAAGTTATGTAAAATATGTAATAATGTAAAAAATTATAGAAAATAAGGAAAAAAAATAAATATCCATAATTCCACTCTCTAGACATAACCATTACTAATAACTTGTGGATCCCCTTTGAACTTTTGTTATTATATAAGTTATCTTCTTACATTATATATCATCATATTTAGTATAAAAATTCTTATTTTAGGTTCAAGTTTTACCACTTAGACCCTATATTAGTGTGTTAAATTGGCAGCCCTTATTTTAACTATAAAATATTTTCTAAATTAAATAAAATCTAAAATACCTGAATAAACATTCATTGTCCAAAATTCAAATGATACACAGTATATAGAATAAAAAGTAAATGTCCTTGCATAGCCCCACCACAGGTAACCAGTTCAACTGCAAACTCTTGACCACAAGATAATAATGATAAGGACCAAGAAGTGCAAAATTTATTATCACATAATTTTCCTAAGTTTTATTTTTAAATTTTTATTTTCTATATACCAGTGATCTTTTCGTTGGGAACACCTTATTTCATAATACCAAATGCTCATATAGGGACTAATTCTAGTACAACAGCTTATATCGACTTTGAGATACATTTTTGAACTATTTTCTCTGGAAGTGAACAGACTGCCATCTTCACATTTTCTGATTGCTGAGTGGTTTATTCCCATCTGTTTTTGGAAGTCTGGATATGTATAGTTTTCTCAGTATATTGATCTTTACTTATAGCAAACATATTCTTCAATGGCAAATTGCCTTTTCACCATTTGTATTGACCTGTATGACTACACCAAGCTATCTATATACTGTCATTAAAATTTGGAGACTATCAGTTAGATGCAAAATCCTTTTGAAGAACAGAGAATAACCCAAAGTATAATTCAGGGTTTGCTCTTGAAGAGCACTTTGTTTCATTCACATTTTCCTAATAGGAAAATGTGGCTTGCATTGACAGTAAAAAACAAGATCTGGATTACACTTAAGACTGGGTACGGCAAGGTAGTGTCCTGGCAGGCAGTCTGTCTTTCCATCAGTCAGGGTAAGTCCAGAAACTCTTTGCCTTTCTATAGATCACCATAGATTCCAAAGCACGTTGCTTAATTTCTTCCAACTTTGAAGCTCACATACCTAGAGGCAGGCAAAATGCAGCTGTAGTTTTACTGGAAACCCTTTTATATTCTTGGTTTTTGAGTCAGAATACACACAGTAGATGAAATTACATATGCAAAATTCTACAGCCTATGATATTAGGCCATTCTTGCATTGCTATAAATACTTGAGACCAGGTAATGTATCAAGAAAAGAGGTTTAATTGGCTCACAGTTCTGCCGGCTTTACAGGAAGCATGGTGCTGGTATCTGCTTGGCTTCTGGGGAGGCTTGAGGAAGGTTACAATCATGGTGGAAGGTGAACCTGCGGCAAACAAGTCACGTGGCCAGAGCAGGAGCAAGATGGGGTGGTGGAGGCACCACACACTTTTAAATGACCAGATCTCAGAAAAACTCACTCACTATTGCAAGGGTAGCACAAACCCATAAGGGATCTGCCCCCCTGACCCAAACACCTCCCACCAGGCCCCACCTCCAACACTGGGGATTACAATTCAACATGAGATTTGGTGGGGCCATATATTCAAATCATATCGCCTACTAAGCCCAAAGCTCTAAGTACTGTCTTTCTCTCTTACAATAGAGCTACAAGATTTTGCTTTGGTGATTAAGAGAACAATACAATCTTATGTAGGCAGAGCCCCATAATGTTTTAAAGTGACTTAAAATATTCCAATTCATATTAAAATAATAATAGCCATTATTTAATAAGCTAAACATGGTTAAAGCATTTCCTCAAAATTATCTCATTTGGTCTTCAATATGAAGTTTGGGGGGCTTATTATGAACTCTCATAGATGGCATTTGGATGTCTTCAGGTTTAGGAGGATGGGCTCTGTCCTGGGGACGAGGTTCAGAAAAACTTAGACGTTGCTGGCCTTAGCTTACAAGGTCAAGTTAGTAAAAAAAAAAAAAAATTTAACATGATTAGAACTGAGAAATGGCCTGCTCTAGGGGACTGCAAGTGATTGCTGCGGTTGTTCCTCTTGTTCCGTGTCTGAATGCCTCTCAAGTCAGGAAGAGAATTCTTTATTAAAAATGGCCGGAGGGCGCGGTGGCTTAAGCCTGTAATCCCAGCACTTTGGGAGGCCCAGGCGGGCGGATCAGGAGCTCAGAAGATCGAGACCATCCTAGCTAACACGGTGAAACCCCGTCTCTACTAAAAAAATATGAAAAATTAGCCGGGCGTGGTGGCGGGCGCCTGTAGTCCCAGCTGCTCGGGAGGCTGAGGCAGGAGAATGGCGTGAGCCCGGGAGGCGAAGGTTGCAGTGAGCCGAGATCGCGCCACTGCACTCAAAAAAAAAAAATGGCCGGAGGTACCTGCATCCCACCTAGTCAGGGCTCTAGCTTCCCTCCTCTTTGTGTGCAATCCAAGTTTTAGACCCAAGGGTGGAGGACCTACCACTGTACAGTGCTGAGTAAGACAGGGTTCTCACCGAAGTCAGCGAAGTTCCCAGTCCTTTCTGGCGCGAGCTGCATTCCCAGACACTCCAGCTCTTGCCGAAAGGAGCTCCGTCTTTTGCGCTAGTGTTTGTCTACCCTCCCCTGCCCTAAAATAATGAATGCCCTCTACCTGAGGGAGAGACTTCAGTGGCGGTAATCTACTCGCGGCTGGCTGCATCCTTGAAAAAGCACATTTCCCTTCTACTATCTTCAAGATCTTGGTTAACCAGATTCACATTGTATTTGCAGGACGCTTTCTCAGGTGACTGCTCAGTGCTCTTTTTTACCGAAAGTAGGGCAAAGTCCCCCAAGGGTGCTAACCCTCCCCCACCCACATCAAGGAAGAAACAGTCCTCTACTCTTTTCTGGACATTCCGGTTCAGAGTCGAGGTAAGGGTTGCACGGCCCCGCCCCACCCGCCCCTCCGTTACCAAGCCTTCCCCCGCCCGCCTCGCAGTCTCAGGGCCTTAGAACCCAGGCGGGGCGAGGCCGGGAGAGGTGGGGCTGCTGGCTGGAGGCGGCGGCGGCGCGCAGCGGTACCTAGCGGCGCTGCCCGGCTGGCAGCCGGAGGACGTGGCACTGTCCGAGGATCCAGGGGGAGGGGATTCGGCCTTCTCCTCCCCGCGAGGAGGAGCCTCGGGACATCCTGCAGAGGCGGGAGGATCCTTGAGGGCACTGGTGCGCCTTTCAGGTGAGCTCTTAGCAGATAAAAGCGGCTGGCTGTGGTCCGCGCCAGTAGTGCTTTCTGCTCCGCACTCCCAGTGAGCCAGGTGCGCAACCGGAGTGGGGGCGACGGGCGTGCTGGCCACCCCGCATGCGCAGAGCCGGGAGCCCGCTGACCGGACTACAGCTCCCAGAGGAGCCTTGTGGAAGCCGCAGACGTGGAGCCGCTGGCGCCATCTTGAAATCTGATCCTCAATCCCCGAGCCTTTGAGTCTGCGCGGCGGGCCGCTGCTGCTCCGGGAGCCCAGTCTGTTAAAAGGGTAGGACGTTGAGGACGCGGCGGCTGGCGGGAGAGACAGCTGGGGAGAGACATGGCAGGGTCGGAGCGCGGCCTGCGCCTCTGTCACTCAGCATCCTCTTAGACGTTTCCACGCCCGCCCCCTGCCCAAGGGGCGGGGCTGACGGCTGTGGTACCCGGAGCCGGCGCACGGGGTAGGGGTGCACCCCTGCAGAGTGAGGACCCCACTGGGCTGTGCCATGCTGACTGGAGACCACTGAGGCGGGAGACAGAGCGCGGCGAAGAGCCATTGAGTGGTCATCCAGTAGCCGCCGCCGCCGCCGCCTCAGGAAGCTTGGCACCCGCTAGGAGGGAAGATGAAGGAGATTTGCAGGATCTGTGCCCGAGAGCTGTGTGGAAACCAGCGGCGCTGGATCTTCCACACAGCGTCCAAGCTGAACCTCCAGGTTCTGCTTTCGCACGTCCTGGGCAAGGATGTCCCCCGCGATGGCAAAGCCGAGTTCGCTTGCAGCAAGTGTGCTTTCATGCTTGATCGAATCTATCGATTCGACACTGTTATTGCCCGGATCGAAGCTCTTTCTATTGAGCGCTTGCAAAAGCTGCTACTGGAGAAAGATCGCCTCAAGTTCTGCATTGCCAGTATGTATCGGAAGAATAACGATGACTCTGGCCCGGAGGTCAAGGCGGGGAATGGGACGGTTGACATGTCTGTCTTACCCGATGCGAGATACTCTGCACTGCTCCAGGAGGACTTCGCCTATTCAGGGTTTGAGTGCTGGGTGGAGAATGAGGATCAGATCCAGGAGCCACACAGTTGCCATGGTTCGGAAGGCCCTGGAAACCGACCCAGGAGATGCCGTGGTTGTGCAGCTTTGCGGGTTGCTGATTCTGACTATGAAGCCATTTGTAAGGTACCTCGAAAGGTGGCCAGAAGTATCTCCTGTGGCCCTTCTAGCAGGTGGTCGACCAGCATTTGCACTGAAGAACCAGCGTTGTCTGAGGTTGGGCCACCCGACTTAGCAAGCACAAAGGTACCCCCAGATGGAGAAAGCATGGAGGAAGAGACGCCGGGTTCCTCTGTGGAATCTTTGGATGCAAGCGTCCACGCTAGCCCTCCACAACAGAAAGATGAGGAGACTGAGAGAAGTGCAAAGGAACTTGGAAAGTGTGACTGTTGTTCAGATGATCAGGCTCCGCCGCATGGGTGTAATCACAAGCTGGAGTTAGCTCTTAGCATGATTAAAGGTCTTGATTATAAGCCCATCCAGAGCCCCCGAGGGAGCAGGCTTCCGATTCCAGTGAAATCCAGCCCACCTGGAGCCAAGCCTGGCCATAGCATGACAGATGGAGTTAGTTCCGGGTTCCTTAACAGGTCTTTGAAACCCCTTTACAAGACACCTGTGAGTTACCCCTTGGAGCTTTCAGACCTGCAGGAGCTGTGGGATGATCTCTGTGAAGATTATTTGCCGCTCCGGGTCCAGGTATAAAAAACGGCTACACAGTGCCTTTCTGATTATAGCTAGCTGGCCTCTGGCTTCACATGATTTCGGTCTAGGTGGAGGTTAGTAATATTCTAGACTTGAGAAAATTAGTCATGAGCCCATTTTTGCTGCACCTTTTCTGTGTCTCTTTTAGTAAACGTGATTCGTACTCAGATAATTTGCTTTTCACAGTCTTTGTAAAATCTGTTGGCCTTCCCATTATCAAAATTGTATACCTTTTAAAACAAAAAGGTAAAGATTCCCACTTCACTTTTATCCTGTAAAAAGAAGACATTTAATCTCATTTCTGGCACTAGAACTTTTCCTCTTATCTCCTTTTCTTTCTTTTTTTTTTTTTTTTTTAACAACTTTTAAAATTTGTTCTTGTTTTCAGATTTATAGACGTTTCCTCCCAATGGTTTTCTGTAAGGCAGTTAGTTCTCTAGTTAGTTCTTCCCAGAGCATTGAAGCTTTCATCCGCAAAATGCCTGTAAATGATTAGAGCATAAGGTAAAAGGTTTGGGGGAAACCTATTAATCCACCAGTAAAGTATTATAACATCTGGACAATATTTATTATAATGAATAGTTCATTTGAGGATTAGTGATGACTCATTCATAAAAGAGACAGGAATTCAAGTATTCAAGTACAGTATTGTCACTCAAAACGTTAAGGCATAAACTGTTCACAGCCAGAACTCTGCTGAGTTCTACTGGAAGATATTTGATATTAAGAAAGGATTAACCCATTATTGGATCAGAGGAGAGTTTCATTCATGATAGTCTTGAATTCTTAATGACTAGAGGATGGCAGTTGCTTAATTTGAACCATTCATGTCTGCCCAATTGATTCTATACCAACCTTTTAAATTCAGCTATGGTAGTTTGTTTCTATAGCAACAGTAAATGCTAGGTTCAGTTAACTTTGTGAAACATACTGGCATGTTCCACTTGATACAACTTATTTTAGCGATACTGTCACAAAGGTAGATGTGATCTAGAAGGCATTTTTAGAAAGCCTGCTACTGGTCAACATCATTCCAGAAATTTAGAGCTTGATAAGTAACATTGTTGATGGTCACATGAAACTTTTGGAAAGTAGTTCTGTGGTATGTATACTTTCTTTCACAATAAGAACCTAAGCAGAAAACAGGAGAAAAGTTTTTAAATTTACACAAAATTATGAGTAGCAGCATAGATGAGAAACAGCAGAGATGAAAGTGTCATGAAAGGTAAAAAGTCAGTGCGTTTTCATTTGTATAAAATGTATGTACTTCTTTTCTTTTGCTTTTCCTTTCAGTGGAGCCTCAGCTGAATTTGGGCTTTACAGTATTTCTGGACCAGACATAGGTGTTACAAATTAAACATGGTGTTTTCTTATTAGGGTCTAAAATTAGTTGGGCCAGGATGAATGGGAAATAAACTCGTCTCCCCAACCCGCCACCAAATATGGCCAATATTGTAGAACATTACATAAAGACTGAGAAAATAACAGCCAAAACAAGGTCTTTTTTCTCCATATTTAAATAAAATACTCTATTTTGGTGACCGGATTTTGGAGTTGAGAAGAATTTTAAAGATCATCTTCAGGCAGTCCCTCAATTTGGAGATATGGAAAGAAAGTTCATTCTTTAACTAACTTAGCCCATGCAGAGACAAAGGTTTCTGACCATTCTCAGGCAAGACACTAATTCTATACATTAAACCCCATTGTCTGAAGTACATAAATTTAAGTAAGTACTTTTTTAAAACCAGGAGCCCTCTTTCTCTAACCTAAGGATGCTTGGGGGATTTTTTAGAGATTACGTGAAAAAAATTGTCATCTGAATGAACATATATAAACTATGGTAACTGTATCTTTAGGTCAAGTCCCTTTACTTCACTAAATTTGGACATTAGAGCTTTAAAATAGTAGCATATGACCTTTCTGCTGTGACCTAACTTACATTCTTACATTGTTTACTGTTTCTAGAAAAACAAAAATTGGGAGGGAGAAAATGTCATTCAGTTTCAAGAAATGTGGCATTTAATTATTATACCATTTTCTCTAATAATTTGAGATGTCAGGGAAAATAGATGAATTGTGCCCAACCTGTTTGTAAATAAAATGGGCAGCATATCTATTGTTTAAATCCGGTTACTTTTAAGCTCCTTAAGAGCCTTATGACAAAACCAGTGCTAGATAGGACAATGGCAGACTGGTTTTTGTCTATTTCTCTGAACAAATGTGGAAAGAATAGAAACAATGTAATTTTTTTTTTTTTGGTAGTTCTCCTTTTAGCTTGTGAAAACACGAAACTATGAAAGAAAAAAATGTTTCCTTTAGTTCAGTTCTGCCACAAATATGGAGAAAACCTTTTATCTTAAACAGCAAGATTTTCTGTAAGGTCATTTGGATTCCTTTGTTTAATCTTCCACTTACCATACTGTATGCACTATTAAATATTGACATCAGAATTCCTCCTGATTGCTTTTCATCTTTCTTTTTTTCTTTCCTTCTTTCCCTCTTTTTCTTTGTTCCTTTCTTATTTATTAAAGAAAACTAACAGTGTAGTTCTGCTTACTGATATTCTGATATTACACAAAGTAATTTATTTCCCTTCTACAGAATTTATATATGACAACCTAAAGCTATTCAGATAGCTAAAGAAAGGTTTGAAGCCTTATTCTAGCTGGTAATTCCCTTCTTTATTGTCTGGCCCTGAACTAGAAAAGCTATGATGGGAGGGGTGTGGTCCCTTAGTAAACAGCAATGAGCTCTGGCCCATGTGCAATTTCCCTTTCTATCTAAAGTCAAAGAACAGGAGATCTTTGCTTTAAACCTTGCAATGCCAAGGTCTGCTCCTCTGTGACTATGGTAAATTTATCACACTCATATTTTAGTTATAGGAAGTGGATCAGGCCCTTTGGAAGATGTTGGCAT